GTTACGAGGTGAGTCGTAATATTATTCAAAAAATAAAATTTCTTCAAAACAAGTTGTTAGTCACAGATCATGTCATTAAAATATAAAATGGACTTAAATAAAGTATAGTCTTTATTTTAAAACTAGGAATAATTTTATTAAAAAATATACAGTTTTTTTAAAACCCTTTTTACTATAATTCATATAGTTTACAAAACGTAATTGTGCTTACAATTAACACTAGTGATAAAACATGAACAAATGATATTCACTATTAAAATATAAAAAATTTAATAATTAATCATATATCAAGTTATTAGTGTACTAAACGCAGCCTTCATTGTTTATCAATTATCAAAATACTTTATGCAATACAGTAAACATTGTTTTAAAAGAAAAATGATGAATTGTATTTTCAGCCGGACTCTGTTTTAACTAATTGGCTAACGTGGTTATCAGTGAGCAGCAACTTAGATGTAAAATTTACTTCAGCTGAAGACGTTGTTTATGATTCCAAATTGGTACAAAATATTCTCGTTAAAGTGCAGCAAAATAATTATTTTTTAACACTTTTGGAGAGTTTTCAAATATTTTTACCAGTAAGTTCATAAGTTATTTTAATTTACAAATAAAATCTTTTATTTGTTTTAATTAACAGGAAAATCCATTAACGGCATTCCTCGAGGTGCTTGTCAATTGTGCAAAAAATGATTTCAGTGAAACTTTTATTAACGAGAAATTAGAATCTTTTAAATTAAAACTAAAAACTTTAAAAAACAGTTATATTGAAATGGATATAGATCGCGATTTATCCTACATTGACAACAGACAATGGATTGAAAGTGTGGCTGTATCACTTTTAGCAGCTACTTTTGATTATATTTTAAAATCATCATACCAGCAAACGCAACTTTTGAAACTCTTAATCAAATTTAACGTATCAGAATATCTGCCTATCTCTTTGGATTCTATAGAGAAAACATTAAATATGCTGAACAGTATATCTAAAAACAAATGCAATATTAGACCGAGTTTTACTGATTTGTTTTGGCAGGAAACAAGAACTACTTCGATTCAAAATTACATAGACGAACTTATAAATAAAAAGTTTTATAAAGTCGCTTTTGAAATTGGCTGTATCGAAGGTATTACTTTTGATCATGTTATACTCCAAAAATGGGAAGATGAATTTGAAAAAAAACATCAACATGATGATTTTTGGAGCTGCAGTTTGAAAGAATTCGCTAATGTAAGACAAAAAGATAAAGTGCTTAAAGCTTTAGAAAAATGTTGCGCAAAAGTGGAGAGCCAAACTGAGAAATATAAAATCTTGAAAGTTGCCCTAGAGTGGGCTAAATCAAATAATTTGGGTAACATTAGTGATATTGAGAAGAAAATGTGGATCACTGTTTTACATTTAAAAAATTATGACTTCCAGTTTCCTTTCTTTTCTGAATCTCAATCATTCCTTTATTCTCACATACAGCAAGAGCTTTCTAATATTTCTATTCCTGAAGACGAGTTGCTAACTCTTACACAAGCTGACAAAAATTATATTGACACGATTATAGAATCTTTGTTGAACTCTGTAAGGTTTACTGAAGTTTTGAAATTATCTAAGATGTTTGGACACAAACATGAAGATTTAACAATATTGACACTCTGTGTACAATTGGCCGAAGGCCTATTACTTCCTTCCCAACTTAATGTAGAACAAAGACTTTTGGTTAATAAAGCAGCCCACCTGAGGAAATTCAGTCAACGTGGAACGGGATCATACAAGTCTTTTCAACTTTCGAACATTGGAACAGGTATGATGGGAGGTTTAACATTTTTCTTATTTAAATGTGTTTTTTTAATTTGTAGGATGGTTCAGTTCTACAATGAACATGGAAGACTTTGAAATTCCTGGTAATGATACAGTGAAGATACTCGAAATCCTATCAGAAAGGGTGAAATATGGTTTTGATTTGGCTCAGAAAGTATTTCTCACCTTTAGAATAAGTGTGAACATTGATAGAAGATACCAACAAGTATTAGAATGTAAACAACCTATCGAACTTCTCAAAGCAAGCTTAAAAGAAGACTGCAGAAACAAATTACAAGTTATACATGATTTTATCGTTGTCTGGAAATGGTCTAAAGAAAAAGTAAGAGTTTTTTCAATATGTACTATCTTATTAACGAATTATAAAAAATTTAGTATAAACTCGTAATTTTAATTAGGTAGCTGATTTTGTATGTGAAGAAGTGATTACAGCGATCGATACCTTTACTAAAGCAAAAATTGAAGGGACAGTCTTGTGGGACTTAGACTTGGATAGGGACTTCCCACTTATACTACAATTTTTACCAGAAAATACCTCGTCAACGTTAGGTGCAAAATTATATTCTTATGCTAGTGCATTATATAAAGCCCAGAATATCGACGGTGGCGAGTTTAAAATCAGCGAATTCCAAATGATTATAGAACTCTTGATACGATCACACGACTGTTTCACGGCAGATTGTAACATGGAAGGCATTTCAGTGATTTTAAGAAAAAGTAAAAAGATCATCTCAATGCTCCTCGAAATTAAAAGTTGGAAATTAATTGTGAGACTCCTAACTGGCGTGGGAAGATACACTGAAATGAGCTATATTTTCCAAATATTAAAAGAAAATGATCATTTCGAATTTTTATTAAGAAAAGGAAATAGAAAGGACAACGGTCTCAAAATAGCTTTGCTGGAGTATTTGAAAAAATACTGTCCCGAAAACAGGGAATTGTACAGAATGGTGGCGTTACATTTTACATTATATTCCGAAATCGCTCAGATATGGGAAGAAGAAGCCCAGAGCCTGATCAAAAATCTGATTGCTATTTCCAGGTTGGAAATGCAAAACAACGGTCTTAATCCTGATAATGAAATGTTTGTCCTTTTGAGTAATTCGGATGGAACGAAAATTACTTTAAACAAGGTAAAGAAATGCTATGTACATATTTATCTTTGAATTGAAAATATTTTACGAATTTCAGTAATTCATTTCGTTACACGATATTTTTAACTTTGCTATTTGGGATTATTACAGGCGATGCAAAATTACATCCATGCTGCTGAATACCATTTACAAGGTGAGAAACTGATGAAGGCTATGCAGTCCGCGAAACAAGCAGAACTTGTAGCCCTCCAGCTCTCAATTCTAAAAGGACTGGGGACGAACGCATCCTGTAACTGTCTTCTCAACCTAAACAACTCCCAAATAGGCACTCTAATTACTTTACATCTAAGGTAGGATTCTTTTTATTTCACTTTTACTATTTTGTTTGCCTTGGGTTATTGCCATATTTATACATAATAAACATGGGTGAGAAAGTTTTCAAAGAAGAGAGAGAGAGAGTTTAAAAAACAGTAGACCATCAATAGTGTGATAATCGCATAATTAAAACCCCTCGCAATGTGAACATCATATTGATTATGATAATCTATCGTATGCCGTGAACAAACCAAATTTCGGTTATAAAAATCCTCGAAATATTTGGTACTTCCCCTTCATTTAGGTAGGTAGGTACTTAGTTGATAAAAAATCTTCAGAAAGAAACAGTTCTGAATTCTTTGCTAAAATGTTATATTTCATTACTACCTTTTATATTTATTAGTGTAAGTATTAGTGATTTTTGTCACATATTAAATATAACATTTGTTGATAATTTAAATAACTGTTGCATTTTTTTAGTTCACACTATCGAGTGTCTTTAATCATGCATAATAAAAACACGTAGTAGACATACTTCTGTTGCTATATGAAGTAGATGTACCTATCTATGTGTAAAGTTCCACAATTAGTGTTACATTTTCATATTTTAACAATCTCTGTTTTTAACACATCAACATGGGATTGGTTGAACGCACACCTTCACTCTTTCCTGTCCTGAACTAATCTTCCCTCTTTCCTAATACTAGAATATCCCACACCCCTACGTATTTGTGACACTAATTTAATTTAGATCTAGGGTCTACCTCTGCCTTTTTTTCTTATGTTACTGCTTCTAACATGTCTGTAACTAGCCCTTCATGTCTTATAAAGTGTCATTCCATCTTATCTTTGCTTAATATAATTTGCGAAGTTTTACTAAATTGGGAGAGAGGGAAGGGCTAAATGTTTGCGTAAAAGTGATTGGTTACTGTACTATAGTTGTGCACTTGTGGTATGTGTTGCTTGCCTGGCTTAGACCTGACCTCACCTCATCCTGGATTTGAATAAGGTAAAATTTTTAAACATATTTCTTTATCATCAGGTTTCCACAATCTCTAATTCTTGCAGAGGCGTATAAATATCAGCCTGATTGGGCGTCCGCGTTATATGAACAATTTGTCGTGCAGAATAAGCAAAACTATTTCGACAGTTTCCTAACTTCGCTTGTATTAACAGACACCCTTGTTAATGACGTTTCGAGAAAGTTCCTCTCATCGGCGAGCATAACGGCAACTATGGCGAAGAATATGAAAGATATATTGCGAAAATTGTCATCGGTTCATACCAGATATCGAATAGCAAGTGAGCTTGGATTTTCTGATCTTATCGAAGACATGTTGGCAGAGAATCAATTAACTTATTTAAGGGATACAGTGTGGAAAAAGGGATATAAAAACTGATTCGTATTTTGTCCTCTAGAACACGTCAAACGCTCACACACAGACGCTGCATGAATGATTAATAAAAAAAGAATCTATTTGTGAATTATTAAAATAATAAATGTTTAATGAATCTATTAAAACAAATATGAGAAAAAGGATTTTGGGCAGTATGAGTTATGACTTCTGGAAAATGAAGACAGCGAACACTTTATGTTTAATGGTCGATGTTTACCAATAACATCAGCATAAATCAAACAGCTATAACAAAAGTTTGTACTATAATGTGCATTTCGTTGGACAAAAATTTAAAATTGAGTTATTTAAAGTTACCCAATTAATTAATAAAAATTCAGTACCTGATTTACATTCCCATTTCTTTAAGTCAAACTGAATACTAAAAATTTTGTGTTAAACAACACTAATANATGCACAGGCTGCTACATTTATTGATCATAAATAGACTACACTACATATCAGACCATGTAATTAATTTTAAAATACTAAATGGGCATAAGTCTTGATATATTTCACAGTGTTCGTTAGATTTTCCATAATTTTCAGCTTCGTCATATACTGATGAACCATTTTCTTTCAAACTGTAAGAAGGCCTGAAAATAATACATTGAAAATGATAATCAAATACCCACGGCTATTTTGGAATGTGATTATTATAAATATTGTATGTATTCACCTCAAAATTATATTTATTAAATCACCCAAAATTCCATTTCCGTCTAAATTTTTCTCAGCACATTCACAAATCATTCTTAAAAGGCATTCCCGACCTGGATATCCATGCCTATAAAAATTTATAAAAGTTACATTTTGAAACAAATGTAAAATTTATAAAGTAATTATACTTTTTTTGGCGGGTTGAGAGTTTTTAGCGTGCAACGGAAGTTGCGTGCGCACCACGCAATTAATTCACGCGACTGCCAATTTTAATCGACAACATTGTTGAAATAAATACAAATACGTATAATCTAAATAAATAAAGAATATAACTAATACTGCGTGTACATAAATATACACACTTTTTTTTACGTACCCTTCTAATTTGAATTCTAACGCCCTGTACACGCCTAATCTCGAAATAGTAGGAAAATTCCTATTAGAAACGGTGGGTGGATACGTGAAATTAGTTTGATTTGATGGTAAATTGTAATTGGCTTCTAAATTAACCGAAAAAAATAAATCCACGTTATTAATCTCAACTGGAAATGCAATCGCCACAAAAAGCTAAAATTTATAGTTAAAAAGTAAAAGTCAGTATAAATAAACAAAAATTTATAACTTACTCCAATGAAAGGAATTACAGGATCTCCATAGGGAAAATGAAATTGGTTAGGAACTGTTATTTGTCCAATTCCGAAGTTTGTTAAACATATAAGAGTAAGAAAGAATGTAAAATGCATGATTTTTTAAAGGTATAGTGAGTAAAGCAAAACACAAGAATGTTATTTTACATATGAAATTTAAGCTTGTTTTTACCGTTATCGAAACGAAATGTACTTTCAACCTGCTAATTGGTTCTTAAACAGACAAATTAAATAGTCAGTACTTAAACCCATTTTCGGTCAGTATATGTATATAAATCAATTTTCAGTCAATATTTTATTACCAAATGGTCAGTATAAAAATCCTAAATGAACAGTATAAATGTTAAGCGATCAGTATACATAAATCAACTAGTCAGTACATTAATTATTTATTATGATTAGGCTAAGTTACGTTAAGTTAAGACTAAGACTAAAATACAATTGATCAATACAATATTATATATAAACAAAAATATGAGTGCTGTCGGCACAGGGCAAAGCAGTATTACGTTAATGAAAGTTAGTATCAACAATTTCTTGTACAGTGTACGATGTATTGCATACCTATTTACAAACAATTTCTTTAAATTTTAATCATTCATTACTATACATCTATTAAAAAACCATAATGGCCGACATCAGTAACAATGCAACAACAATTGAAAAAGAATGATGGCCGACAACTCCAACAATTAGAAAAGAATGATGGCCGACAACTCCAACAATTAGAAAAGAATGATGGCTGACACTACGTCATAGTGGAGCAATAAAAATTGCCGGGGACAGGGGAAAAAACCAGTACAAGTCAAAAATAAATTGTATTATCTGATATTATTACTTATGAAGATTAGTTGATATATATAGGATGATGTGTGCTGTTAGTTTAAGTGCTTATTATAAATTGCTAGTAGGTTCGACAGATAAAGTGGGTATAAAGGGTAGTTATATCTACACGAATGATTAGGGAGAAAAAATGGAAATATTATTTTATATGCAAATTTTCTGACCCTTCCTCTGTCATTGCTCAGTCGACTACTCTCACAGGGCATCTATGATCACAAAGATCCGAACATTAGAATTATTAAAAGCGTATTAAAGGTTTATCTATGATCAGAAGAATAACAAGATGTAAACAATAGCTATCTATGACAATAGCCAACAATAACAAGGCCAACAATAACCTACTTTTGTTTCCATATTATGTTAAACGGCATATTATAATGAAAATTATTTGAATTCAAACAAAAACATGATCTTTGGTCACGACTGTTCGATAAAAGTGTTCTTATCATGTTGACATAACAGTTTTAAAGAGTAGTTTTAATCAAAAATGAATCATTTTAAAGAAACAGGCTTTTGCTACAAGTGCAGACAATAATGTCAATAAAACATATTTTTGTATGCAAGGTATGTTTTCTACATTCATTAATTCATTTTTTTGACTGTTTGTTCTTTAGGATGTTCCTTTTCCTTCTGGAACCACGAAAGAAGAACAAAGAGTTTGGAGTGGCTGGTGTGAAATGGGAGACCGAGAAGTTGTCAGGGAGGCTGCTGTTAAAGGGGTTCATGTTCAACTGGCAATTAAGTTTTTGGCTACACGGAATCATACAGCTTATGAAAAGGCGCAGACAGTTTTTAATCAAGAAGTAAGTAATTTTTCAATTGTATAATTGAATAAGAGGCAAATATGACTGAAGTTTTGAAAAGGAACACCTGATTGATTTAAAACTTTTACTAGACACTCCTTTATGGATCAGATTTTTGACAATTTAAAGCGGAAGTTGTAAAAATTTCTTTTTTCTGTAATGGTAGCTTAAAAATACGTTTTTGGGAAACAGAACCCTTAGATTAGCTTCAATCTTTTACAAGATAATGTTCTCTAGGAACTGTATACTCGTTTAAAAAAAAACAAAGAGGGAGAAGGAGGTAACCATTATCTACCCTAACAACCTAGTATGAATTAGGTTGGTTTGTGTTATGTTAAATAGGATATGTTAGTTTAAGATGTGTAACAGTTTCCCCTTACCGGGTGAGAACTGTAACCATTGAACAATTTATTTTGTTGTATACAGACATTCAACTTATACATATACCTATTAAACTGCAGCCCCTGTTGATGCATTATTACCCCTTTCGGTTTGACTCTTCAAAAATCCTATTAGGTATTATCATTTAGTCAGTAAAGGATTGTGTGGTAAAAATTTGAAACCTTTGATGGTGCTCGTTTTCCGAACTCCAGCCACAAATATCTTCTGCTCTATTCGTAGGTTAATTTGTGGGTACATGAGCTTCTTAATAGGAAACAAATATTCAGGGCTTCTCATATTTTAAACAATATGAAATTAGATCCAGTTTTGGAAATGACCCAGATCTTTGTGGAAACTGACAAAAAGGATCTGAGAAACTATATTGGTGATCATTTGTGTAAAATAAGTAAAATGCCTGAAAATTTCATTGTGACATGGAATTTACTGAAAGCAATTGAAAACAAAAGCAATATTCTTAGTCGGGATGAAAATTATACAGCAACATTTTCAGAAATTAACAAAAAAGATCATAAGTGGAAGTGTAAAGTTGGTACAAAACTCTTCTTTTCGACTTTTGGTAAGCTTAATTTTTTTAGTAATATCTGTTAATACTGTACACTGTGCAGCGATTGGTAGATTTTATTTAATTGAGTATAATTAATCCAATATTCTAATGCATTGAAATTACAATAATGTTAAGTGATCAGTTATTAATTTAATTATATTTAACTATTCTACTAAGAACTTTTTTCAATTTTGAATGCCTTATATTGAACTTTTGTAAATTATTATAATATCCTGAAATATTCCTTTTTATTTATAGATTTTCAATTAAAACCTTATCTAGAAAAGGAAATAATGTGGGAGTTTTTATTAAAAAATAACAACAAAAGTTTATTGAAATTGTGGATTGATTTGAGTTTTTCTGAGAATCAAGACATAGACTGTGAATTAGAAAATCTAACCATTGACCAAAAAGCTGTCTTAAAAGAATTATTTAAAAGTTACGAAATCAGTAAAGAAATGGTAGATTTATTATGTGAAAACAGCACTTGTATAGAAGATGAACTTAGAGATTTTGTACTGAATGAATTGTGTAAATTTGGCATGTTTTGCTCAAAAGAAGTAAATGATGTGGTTTATTTAATTCGACGAATTATTAACACGACTGGCATTTCAGAATTGTATGATTTATTGAAGAAAAATCAGATTGGTCATTTTTTGAATTCATTTACTAAGCATTGTATAAAAAATAAATATTACATTCCTCTTAACGTAGTTCTAAATCAAATAGGTACACAATGTTTTGATTATAATAATTTTAATTCGGAACATTTAAACATAATTATTAGTACAAAGCATTTAGCAACCAATTTTAGAAACGATAATAATTTTATTAAAAATATTTTTGATTTTGCTAAACTTTTGTCTGGTGGTGATTTACATTCTTATTTTATTGAAAATCCTTTAATATTCCTTTCCCTAGTATTATTCAACGATAAGAATTTATTGTTACCAATTAAAGGAAAAGGATCAGAATATCTTCACAATTTTGAAATAGATCTTAAATTCTTGGAAAAGGCAGTCGAAAAGTTACCAGTCGTTA